AGCAGTCTATTATATAAGAATAAGAATAACGAAACGGACACAAAAGGAAGCACGAAGGAAATAGAAAACGACGGAGACCCAGAAAGAAATTAGAAGAAACGGAAAAGCCATAATAAAGGAAAGTTAGTGCGTGTGCGTGTGTGAGAGTAGGTGGACAAGCACGCATGGACACGTGTATGTATGAGCACACGCTCTAACTTCGCGGACCATATACCAACAAGTATATACAGACGATTGTACGTGTATATACGTTCATCTGACTATCGCCGTCCGCGCCCAAGCGACAGTCAGTCAATAATCACTTAACTTTCTATATGTATATGTATACACATATTTAAGCGTATTGACGACGAGCTGGGCGGACGCCATCAAGAATCGACATGATGTGTTGGCGGTAGACCTTGAGAGCATTGGTCAAACCTGGGTTTCCGGCAACAGCGTTAACGACGCTCTTGGCCGACAAGCGGCTAGACTTGCGGGATGATTTGCCGGATGAAGTCGACTTTGAGGCCTTGGTGGACTTGTTGGTGTTGTTGGAGCTATTCTTCTGGGGATGAGGAGGGAGCAAGGCCAACGCAGTTGGTGCAACCTTTTGAGCCGATTTCTCCTCGGTGAAGGCGGCGGTAGCTGGGCTAGCTTGCCAGCCTGGGAGAGCCACGGTAACAGCCACCGGTGACTGACCGCGTTCGCCAATTGGAGTGCCTGGGGTGGTAGGCGAGCCGATGGATGGCGAGGATTGCTCGGAGGAGATGGACATGGCCGGGGAGATGGTGGATGGCGAGGCTGGTGGGGTGGCCTGTGGTGACTGAGGAGCTGGGACGTCGTTTTGGACGGCGGCAACAACTGGTGCGGCAGCCGTGGCCACTGGAGCATGACGGCTTGGAACGTTAATGTGGAGGTTGGTCACCGGGATGTCACGACGGATGCGTGGGCAGTTGCGCATGATGCGGCGTAGCTCAGCCAAGGTGCAGCGACGGGATGGGTTTGGATCGAAGCAGCAGGTGAGCACGCGGGCAAAGTCCTCGGTGATGGGGAGGGCCTGGGTAAGAGTGGCGACTGGGCTGCGTAGGAAGCTAGCAAAAGTGCCATCTTGACGTTCGGCGCGACGCCATGGGTTGCGAGCACAAGTCAAGTTGACGAGGAGAACGGCAACTGACCAGACATCGCTAGGGCCGGTGGCGTATGGGGTGGCCGAGGCGTTAGAGCGGGACTCTGGGCTCATGTAGAAGGTGGAACCGCATCCGTGCTCGTTGGACCAGGCGTCAGTGGTGGCCAAGCCAAAGTCAGCAAGGTAGACGTGCATGCGACCGTCGGAACCACGGCGCATGAGCACATTTTCCGGTTTGATGTCACGGTGGTAGACGCCGCGACTGTGGCACCATTCGACACCGGAGATAATTTCCTCCAAGAGGCGTCGTGACTCGCGTTCCAAAGTGCGTTGTCCGAGGCGACCGTCGTTGATGTACTCGAAGAGATCGCCATCGGAGCAGTACTCCAAGACCATGAACCAGCCATCGACACCGGGGTAGTGTGGCACGATGTGGTGGAGTGGGAGCACGTTAGGATGGCCGCTGCAACGAGCGTGCAATGAAGCTCAATACGCTGGAGACGACGTTGAGCCGGAGTCAAGTGAGCCTCGGGCAAGTGCTTGACGGCGTAGGCTTGAGCGGTGATGCGGTCGAAGGCCAAGTAGACAGTGCCATAGGCACCGCTTCCCAAAACAGAGACCAAACGCAATTGCAAGTCGGCAACGCGAATGACGCGACCGATCAATTCGCCTTCTTCGTCAGCGATGTCTTCATCGTCTTCCTCGAGCATTTCCGAGTCATCGTCGCTTTCGGTGCAGTTATTGTTGGCGGGATGGTGGAATTGTGGCTCAGCTTGTGGGGCCTGAACGTTATCGGCCAATGTTTCCAAGACCGAGAGTGATTCACCGGCCAACATTGGCTTAACCACTGGAGCGGGGTGCACCAAGTTGACGTTGTTATTATTGTTGTTTCCGGCTTCGACGGCGGCGGTAGCGGCAGTGTTGTAGATGGCAGACATTCTGAATGGTTTAGTAGGTCGGTAATCTAATAAGTAAATCTATAATGCTTTACAGTGGACAATAATATGTCTAAGTTGCGTGTACGTATAAACGGTGTAGATGTACGTGTGTATAATAAGTAATGAATATGTAATAATCGATATCGAGAAACGAGAAACGAAGTTAGTTAGTTAATGTTTTATATACAATTCCATTGGTTCACAAAAGTCGTCACACATCGTGCAGAGTGAGCGAGAGAGTGAGTGAATGGATGGATGAGTGGATGAGTGGATGAGTGTGAAAGGAGAAGGCCTTGATAGCCTTGTTCGATTTTACACGACTGTTCTTTTTTTGGAACTTCGTGGTTAAAGCACAACTTCCATCACATGACGTGCTAGGAAACAAACCGGAAAGTCATTGTGGTCGGCAGGTATTCGAGTCAGATGCATACGCTTTGCCATAGAGGAACGAAAGGGTACTGAAAGAAAGGTTTACTATTCCTAACAAGTCCCACGCGATACCACGCGGCCCAAATGTAGCAGCTGCATCCGACATTGCCAAAAACCCGTATTGCCATTCCTTTGGCTTTGCATTTGCATAAATAAAGAAACTTACCAGTGGAATTCTAATGTAGTATCGGTAGTAGTAGTAGTAGTAGTAGTAGTAGTAACAATGTACGTCTCGTTGCTGTTGTTGGCAATGATGTAGAGAGAAAGAGTAAGTGAGTGAGTGAGTGAGTGAGTGAAAGGAATGTATAAAGGAATAGAAACAGTCGTTGTCGTCGGTCGTCTAAGTAAACACCAACAAAGGGGAAGCTTGGCGAAATATAACAGCAAAGGATAATGTAAGTGCGCGTTAATGGCACAATCTATAGAACCGTAAGTACGTGTAGTGAGAGTGTATATAAGAGATAATGAAATAGGAAAGCGAAACGGAGGCTTTGCACAAACGTGAGCTTATTAAGCAGACGTAACTTCTATCGTTTTAATGAGCAAAGAGACAATGGTATACACGAGTAAACAGAGGAAGTGAGAAATAATCGCTAAACGGAAAGTGAAATAAGACCACGTAGCACGGATGTAACGAAACGACAGAGAATGGAATATATAATGTAAACGAAAGTACTGAGTACGCTGTAAGAGTAGGACGAGCAAACGAAAAAGACAGATTCAATTACCGTCACCAGCGTGGCACTCACTATTCGCCGTCTTTAAATACATTGTGACTGACGCGTCCACGCGCGAATCAGCATGCTGGATAGACGAGTGCCATCTGGACGATATGCGTGCAAGGGCAGTAATAGGTTGTTCTACCATTGAAGAAGCGTGATCCAATGGAAATCGAATATCAGCGTGTACGAACGCATGGTTGCATTCATCAGGGGTGATGGCAAGGCCAAGCAAACGATGAGGAAAAGGAATGGAAACTGGTGTGAGCTACATACGGTACTACCCCATTGTTAACCCACTTGCACACCAACTTCAGCAGCTTCAACAGCTTCAACAGCTCTGACAGCACATACAATACACACACACACACACACACATCATACAATACATACATCATACAATACATACATTCGCATGGATGACCGCATGGATCGAAGGATGATGTTCAATGTGGTACGAGTGTGACGGATAGACCGTCGAGAACAGATCGCGCGCACATGGAGAAGGTGTTGCCAGTATGGATGGTCAAGGTGGAACACGCGGTACTTATTGGAGGTAGCACCGAGACGGCGTGTTTGCCGGGAGGTAAGCTAGACGAGAAAGGACCTGAGGAAGTAATCTATCCTATTCGGCCATTAGGAGCATTAGAAGGTCGATATTTGGAAATGGCTCATCATACACGTACACACACACACACACACACACAGAGAGAGAGATAGAGACAAAAGTACACACAAAAGCACACCAATGAAACTAGACGCATGAAAGAGCCAATGAGGTTGATGTAGACGACACCACTACACGACTTTGAAGTTATTCGTGTAGAGTGCAAAGGCATCCGCTGCAGTATAGTGTGCAGAATACTGCCTTACCACTGGCTTTATTCTATGCATTACCATACACACGTACAGCTACGTGCATGAAATTGAACGAAACTGAACGGACAGCTCATTAATTGCGCTGGCTTTATTCGGTCATTGAGTTGGCCCCTTTTTGGCGTGCACCGTGCGTCACTGGTGTTTTTCTAGGCGAGCAACACCGAAAACGGTTCAAACGAAGACTTACACGGTCATTCGACGAATACTGACGGTAATCAAACGCACGGGGTAAATGGTCCGAATGATGAACGCGATAGATCCATAAACAGTCATTGATTACAAGGTGATTGGTGATAGTTGTTTAGCGCATGCTGGTTCGTTTCATGGGTCACTACACCGAGATGAAGAAGTGGCATGATACGAGCACGCCCCATTAATGCCATAGTTAATGCCATAGTTAATGCCATAGGTATAAGCACAAGCAGGGTTAAGGGATGACACCAAGCTCAAATACATGCATTGTTGCCGTGTTGTAGGCAACACTTGCATTGCACTGCAGTCAAGTTGACATATGATTGACGACACACCGACGACATTACCAATATATCATTATTTTGTTGTGTTGTTGCTGTTGTTACCACGTTTGTGAGATTCTAATGCATAATGCATAAACAATAAACAATAAACGGTGACGATTTATGGTTAATCATAATAGTAATGACAACATGTAATGATACCGTTCGACGAATGATATATATTTACTGATAAAATGGAGGATAATTGATATAATGTCTACTATGTAAATAAACAACCTATATATAATGCCTATCAGGCTATGTGATACCGAATATTTATCATACAGCTGATATAAATATGCAGGGGTATTAAAAAATTAAAAAAGGAATAAAGTCACGTGATTTAATAAAAGCAAATATATTGTATATAATGTAAAAATTTGCAAAATTTTCAACGAGCTGTCCCGTTAACGGGCGCATGGCCAAATGGATAAGGCGCCTGACTACGGATCAGGAGATTCCAGGTTCGAGTCCTGGTGTGCTCGCTCGCTTTTTGCATCTGTTACATGTAGCTAGGTGACAATTTTTTGCAGAAAAGAAAAGAAGAGGAAAAAGGAGCGAGAGAGGCAGCTAGAACATTAAGAACGCTACAATATACAAAGTAAACAATGTGCAATTCATATACAATGGCTGCTTTAGTGGTTTACATTTGGGAAATATGCTATAGGTAAATTACGTATATGTTATTGTAGCATGCAATTTACTGTACAAGGATGTGTAGTACAAATTGCATAAGCAACAATGATATTTATTATTGTTATTGTTGCTTTGTAAACAATATGAAACTATAGCTGGTAACTAAACAAACAACAATGTATGATGCATGATGGTGTTATTAGTAGATATATAGCTGTATCTTGTGCGCAGCTCATTTTCTATATCCTTTTGTTCCACACTTTCACCATCCGTGCAATAATGATGTCGACAAAGAAGCCTAGTAATGGTGATGGCAATTTGAAATGCGCCTGGGCAACGCTACTTACACGGGATACTTACCTCGACGGGACTCGTGTGCTATATCGATCACTACAGGATAGTAGTACGCGCTATCCACTCGTTGTACTCTATACTGACACGTTAAGCCAGGCATCTGTTGATTGTCTTCGTAGAGATGGAGCACCGGTAAAAAGAATCGAGCTAATCACTGATAATGATATGCCGCTGCCAAAAGCTGATGACTATCTATGGTCGCATTATCAGGATATATGGACCAAACTACGCGTGTGGCAACTTACCGAGTATGATCGCGTCTGTTTCCTCGACTCGGACATGGTTGTGCTACGTAACATGGATGAAGTATTTGACATGGAGATCGGTGGCGCAACAGGCTTCGATATTGCCGCTGCTCATGCGTGCACATGTAATCCACTAAAGATTAAGGGATATCCAAGTACGTGGACACCCGATAATTGTGCATTTTCACGACAACGCAACGTACCTGCCGATGAACAAGCCTCCTCCTCTGGTCTTCATGTTACCTATTTCAACACGGGATTCATTGTGCTAGCACCATCCGAGAACGAGTTCCAATCGATTCTTAATACAGCAAGAAAGATCACCGATCTGCGTAGTCTTCGTTTTGTCGATCAGGATTTGTTGAATATACACTTCAAGGATCGGATAAAGAGTATGCCGTACATCTACAATGCGCTAAAAACCCTACGTGGTTGCCATGCCGATATATGGAATGACGATGATGTCAAATGCGTACATTATATCTTGGAGAAACCATGGTCAATTGAACGTAATGATCCAGAAATACGTAAGCAGCCATTTGGTACACTCTATAACTTGTGGTGGAAGGTACATGACAAGCTATTATCTGAAGATTCAATAAAATGCTAGTTGTAACAAACATTATTATCTGTGACAAATGCATGGCATGGCAATATTCGAAAGGAACAAACGATAAACCAGTATTGACTGACATTATAAATTAGGCTAAGGATTGTCTCAGCTATCACTATTATCATTGCCATTCATATCGCTTTCCTTTCCTTGTTAACTAAACAAGTGGTGCGTTCCTTTCGAATTACCATACCATGTGATTTGAAACAGAATAGGCATGATGCACGTGGAAGTTTCAATATATTAGTATGGAGCACTCCCTCTCGTACTCGCACTTTCTTTAGTATCTTTTTTTGTCATCAGAATTTATACCGTCCTCTCTTCGATTAAACGAAAAACAGCCATATCTTTTTCCATTACGCTTGACAATTACGAATTGAAGTTACGCTTCAACGAACCTCTAGACGTTTATTAGTCCTCCTCGCACCTTACCACCTTTACCACCTCTTATTACTATGCGCTATTTCGCCATTCTCATTGGTGGATTACTACCACTAGTTGCTGCCGCTCGCTACAGTATTAATGAGCCGAACGGACTTACTGTCTGGAAAATAGGCAGCGAAGTCAGCATAACCTGGTCGTACCAGGCCGACGACAAGACGGCCGCAGGAAGCTCCATCAAACTTGAGCTCTATCGTGTTGGCGAGGGTGTTTTCGGACGGGATCGTCTTATCAACACCATTACGGGTGAGTTGGCCGCGTCAGTCGGCACTGCCCGTTGGACGGCACCAGATGTCGACACGAGCAAGCAGTACTACGTTCAACTGCAGCGATTGAATTCTGGTTTGTTCCCCGATCGTGCCACAAGTGGCAAGTTCAAGATTCAAAGTGCAAACGAAAATGCCACACCTACATCATCGTCCAACGTGCCATCACCGACTACATCGATTGTTGTTGTCACGCCCACCGTATTCGTTAACGAAACAATGTCGGCGAAATGTCTCGAAATCCAAAAGGAATGCGAACGTCAAACGCGCGAATACGTCAACTGCAGCTGCGGTGAATTATTGGACTTTAGCGGTGCCAGCCAAAGCGTGTCTTTCACCGAAATGCCGCTAGTATTACTTGCCAGCTGGTCGGTGGCACTCGTTGTTATTGGACAAAGATACTTTTTACAATTGGTGTGATAGTCGCCTATATCAACGCTAAATGGTTTAATTATTGCTAAATGATTGAATTGAATAAAGTAACAATAACGACAACAACAAACATCTAAATTACATAAAAATGAATAGCGCATATCTGTATATTTGCAGGGGTGTCAGCTAACTGCAGTGTGTATTTGACGCTTTTATTAACAACAACGATACTAGTACAATGAAGATTGTCGTCCTTGCTAGGCGTTGATTGGACAACAGACCTTTGACGCAAGCCATTGTTAGTTTGACGAATAAATATACGCTAGCAATCGAGTCGAAACAGCTCCTGCGTATTGTTTCCATTCCTTTTCCATACGACTATTATTGCAAACAGTATTCATTCCACCATGTCTTTAACTTTGTCTGACATATTAACTACACTCACATTCAGAGAACGCAACTACATTCTTAGTCTACTCAACTATATTGAACTAGTACGACTAAGTGCTTGCAATCATTCATTGAGAGGATAGTCTGCAATAATAATGTATTGTGGAGGGAGTTATACAAATGTCGCTTTTTATCTGGCGCATATCGCATAAAGGAATGGGAGTTCGTGTTCTGGTGTTTCCGCACTGATCCAAACACGATATCCATACCAGCAAGAAGATCGGATGTCGTGAACAATGTGGACTGGTACAATACTTATCGTCGACGTATCGCCACTGAGAATAATTGGCGACATGGTTATTCGAACACAACAGAAATGGATCTAAAGTGGAGTTGTAAGGGTGGAAAAAAAGACGTCCTCACTTATGCATCGGCTACAAGTACTATTCTATTGTATAAATATTTTGACACTGAAGGAAGAAGGGAGCTTTGGTACAATATCGAGTATCCGGCACATTTAGATCTTAAGCATGCCAACAACAAAACTCGGGAGTATTCGCTTTCCACGCTACTGAAAACTCCTCCATTATACGGCGATGATGCTTCCAATTCACTTTTTAGTGATGTTTTCGTGGGTGATCATTATGCAATTGGAACTAAAGAAACGTTCCAACAAAGCGGAACCACACGAACTCTCGCTCTATTGTCCCATGGTAGTGAGGATAAAAATGCATATGTCATCGTTGACAGCTTACCCGGTACGGAGGTAAAGATGGTGGACGGAAAATGGGCATTACTATGTGAGGACTTGTATAAAAACTATAGTCATTATTGTGGTATGTATTGTTTTTAGTTATACATGTTAACAGATGCTAACATCATAGAAATAGCCAATATAACAGTACTAGATATGGAGAGTGCCACCAAGCATTCTGGTTTTATTGATGATATCTGGGATGCGACATGTTTCTACGAGACAAATGATGAATCGGCAATAGTGTATACAGTAATATTCAAGAAAGACGATAAAGGACGTATTGAATGGGCACTGCATCAATTTTCCGGTACATCTCAGGTCAATCGAATTCGCTCTGGCTGGTTCTACGTGGCAGCTATATTTTTCACAGGTCCTAAGAAGGTGTATGCTATAGATCAATCTCAAGTAGTGCTTGAGTTTTCCAACGACAAGGGTCGTGTGTTCCAGATCATAGTTCACAGCGTGGCATCGTCTGGACAAAGCGACGAACCACATAATACACCTTGGCTCAAGTATGGAGGACTACCAATTCCTCTACTTAAGGCAGGCTTAAAGTGTGACTATTCTAAACCCATGATTTTTTATTCTAAGCCATTCAGTGATGATCAGTCAATGCAATTTTCGGATTTCAGCCACTATCGTCATGTTATAGGAAGTTTATATTGCATTGTGGAAGGAGGTTATAAGCAAGAAAAAGTATATCTGGTTGATATCGATAAGAAAGAAATAGTACGAAAAATAGAGAGCACCAAGAGCTATGGTGCTTATGGTGCTTATTCATTCATAGGTGTCAGGTATGTAGGACGTAGTAATAAGCAAGGTGCGCTGATTATAAAAGAATACGGTGCATTGTAGTGATCATTTAATAATAATAAAGCGTTTAATACTGCTAATACAATGTTTCCCTCCTCATTAACGCTGTTATCCTTTTGATCCTACTAATAAATAACAGTTACGATAATACGTATTTAGATGTGAGTAGCCATAACCATCACGGTTAAGTTGCTTCTTGTTGTCTTTGTCCTTCATTTCTTGAACATTTAGAAGTAATGACACTTTGATGTAGTTGTGTTGGAACATCGTTTCCATTACAAAGGCTGAGAATAATCTGAATAATATTCAGACATGCTGCCATATCCCGATTCCATACACGATACTCGAATCATTTACCATTCATGTCATCTTTACAATTCTGATGTGTACATCTAATAGCTGTCGGCCAACATCAATAGAAACATTGAGACGCAAATGGCTACATGTGCAGGAGCAGTTGGCAAACTGACGATTATACGTAAAGCAATGGATAAAAGCAAGAAAGACTCGAATAAGAAGAAGGGCAAATAAGCGAGTTCCCTAGTTATTGCATCATATAAACGTATGCTAAACGAAATAAAGCAGTATCTAATAAAAT